GTGTACTAACAATTTGTTCATTGAATCACTTGTTTATATCCATAAGTTTTAATGTTCTATTTTATGATTAACAAACACTCTGATATGTATGCCCATTTTATAAACTTTTATAAAAAATATTCAATACAATATAAAATACTAATTGATGTGTTTACTGGATATAATTTCAACTGTGTGGATATAATACTTGATCATGCATTACAAATTTTGTATGTTAAAAGAAAACAGCTCTTAGTTGTTTCTGTCTCTTTTACAAATGTTCTCAAACTAACATTCCATAAAATCAAATTTTCAATCGTCTCATGATGTATAAGTTATTTACCTGTATGTCACTTTTCCTCTGAACTCTGACTTTTCCCTAAAATTGGTTCAACTTATTACAAAGCTCTGGAAATAGAGTTTTTTTATTTGTTGTTAAACTCAAAGCTACATAATGAGCTCTGCCCTCTGCAGGTATCAAAACTTGAGTTTTAGCATCATTAAGCCTTAGATTTACTGATGAGCCACTGAGTGGTGGAGAGGGATTAAGTGAACTTTGTCAAATGGAATTAAATATTCTATGGTTCAATTTAAAATTTACATTTCCAGATACTTTCAGATTTTGTACCTGAATTGATCTTTGAAATGCTTTAGATCATAGAATTTCATTCATACACTTGTTACTCAGGGAACAGAACATAAAAAGAAAACTTTTAAGTGTAATTAGTGAGTGTTTTAGTTTCTTTTTTTATGAAACTTTAGTTACACTATAGTTGGTGAATAAGGGCATGTTTAATTAACGTTATCTTGAAAATATTATGAAGGGAAATTGCAATGTAACAGTGGTTATAAAAATTGTGAAATTTTATACACATGGTACTATCTATTAGAAAAAATATGAGATGAGAGTTCTTTGCCTCTAGAAAATGTTTTTGATTAACTAAAAACCCAAATGTATACATTTCACATACAGCTTTTGTGAAAACCAGTGGACTTCACACACATTACAACCAGTCGAGAACACATTATGATATAAAAAACTAAGAAATGTTAAACTGGAGCATTTAATTCAAAACAATTAACTTGGTGTCTTAAAATTTTGTGAATGCTAATCTAATGGATTCTGTTAAACCTAACTTGTTTGACTGTATTCATGAGGATATTTTATTTAAACACCTTTCTTTAGATTTACATTATCAACATTTAAACAACATTGTTAAAACTGACAACATGAATTTTTACAACCAAAATATTTTATATTTTTCGATTAGTTTAGAATAACTGTTTTGTTTTTTTTTGTTTGTAATTAAGCACAAAGCTACACAA